ACACACACACACACACACACACACACACACACACACACACACACACACAGACACGTCATGTACGTTCGCACAGACTTAACATCTCTCTCAAACACCCACTCACCTCGCCCCCGGGCACGGGGACACACACATGCACATATGTCTTGTTCTACTATTAAAAAGGGGCCAGAGTGGTGTGCGTCAGGTTCTTCAGAGGTGCCGCTTCAAACCATTTGACCGAGGTTTCTGTGGCGCTCGGAAGACGATATCACCGCGGCTCTCACTTAACTAAATTTTGACTTGATGTGAGGCCCAGCGTACGACGGTGGTAAAACAAAGGGCTGGACAGAGAGGCAACACACACAACACTGACGCGCATTCACGGATCCCAATAAAACCAGCAGCCACGGTGCACATCTGTGATGTGTATAGTATGTCATGGCAGAAAGGGAAGGGCTCCTATGGAGTTGTTTATTGTTAAATCTACAGGGAGGAGTCTATGTGTATGTGTGTAACTCACACTGAGGAGGGCTGTGTTTCAGCAATGGCTCCTTGATTAATGAGACACAAACGAAGATGGACAATAATCAGACACTTAGTCAAGAGTGGAAGTAACAAATTAAATTTACTCTTATTACAATAACAAAAAAATGTGTGTCGTGGTAAGTTTAATTTTACCTTACTATTTGTTATTTAAAGGATTGTACTGTGTCTACTCTAAAGGAGCAATGTGTAGGATTTGGCGACATCTAGCAGTGAGGTTGCAGATTGCAACCAACTGAAACTTCTCACATGTGCCAAGAACTACGGTTGGCCGACGCGAAAACGTGAAAGGCCCTCTCTCGAAGCCAGTCCCTTATACAGGGATGGGTCAAATGCAGAGACAAATTTCCCCCTTACCGGGATGAATATAGTATAATAAAAAAAGAAAAAGCGTCCAAAGGGCTATTGACGCAGGAGCGGGAGGGAAACGGCTCAAGTCAATATTCTTGCTGGAAGAGATTTGCAGAAACAACGTCCTGACAGCCGTCTTGGGAAGCATTGCACGATGCTCTACTGACACGAGCCAAGGACTGCCGTGCATTCTGGGGCAGCGCGGCCTCAGTGACCTCCAGGAGAGCTTAAGATCCGGCTCTATGTGAGTAAACGCACAACCCCGGTGCGATGGTTCAAGCTCCATTTGACAGCTGGTAAACAAAGCAACAACTGCTGGCAGAGGAAACGAGATAAGCTGTCAGCCAATTTCGAAATGTCGCCGTTTTATGGCGGTTTATAATTAATCACATTTACATTTGGGTTATTAAATTGGTTTAAGAGACATTACTATCAAAATCATTTCTGATAAATGGCAGACGGAGTACAGCAGTATGCTTTCCTGCTGTCTCACTGTGTTTAATACAGTCCAGCTGGTCTATAAGAAGTGGATCCGATCGAACCTTTTAATAGACCAAAGTCACTATATCAACAACACAAACAAACTGTGTTCTGTGAGGTCAAATTACAGTTTTTTTTCAAGTCTTGTGGCTTTGAAGAGAGCACAGATCGGTATAACTGCTTCAGTTCCCTGTTGGAAATGGCTGTCTCATAGCAAGATAAAAATATTCTAAATATAGCCTACACTTAAACTGCTATTGATTTATTTATGTGTCTAAAATTATTTTTGCTGCTGCCCCCATCCACAGCAGTACATGGCTTTGCTCTCATGTCGGTACGCCTGTCTGTTTCTACTAACTGGGAGCTTGCCAACCTCCATCAACTGTAGGTAAATACACTGACTCTGGATAAGTAACTCATGCAACCCCATACAAAGAATCCCTTTAAAAGACAACAAGACTAATGTGCTTGCATTCAGTTGTCCGGTCTTACTTCACCTGAGAAAGCAGAAATACAGGATGTCTCAAAACCGTCAAGTGTACATCATCGGCAGAGGATAATAATACAGCAGGTATTTAACAGACTCATCATTCAAATCATTTATATCATATCTGGCTCTAGCAGCTAAATGCTCCGTTGTGTGAAGTGGCTTTTTAGAGTGTTTCCACTGAAAACAGCTGCCTGCTGTGACCCAAAGCGACGCTATGAGAGCGGTGAGAGTGAACTAAAACAGTTGTGGGCTGGGCGGATAAACAGTGAGCTAAAGCTTACTATAAAAACCTGTGAGGCCTAGGGGAGCAGCAGCTGTTCTTTGTAGGTTCAACACTATGACGCATCCCTTTTAACGTTTTTTTTTTTTTTACATCGTCATTTAATACATCACAATTATATTGATTACGGTCACTTTAAAGGAATGGCATCATGTTTTTCTGCCTATTTCTTGAGAAACATTTTTTCCTTGATTCAAATATCTCAACATCCAGTATCAACAACATCAAGTGCTGATCCAGTACCAGTATTGTGCAGTGCTCTTTTAAATATAATTATGTCGAAAAAGTAAGGCTCATTCTTTTGAGAACATGAGGCCAGGGATTTCTGTGGCACTAAAAAACGAGTCAGAAAAACTAAAAAAATCTTTATTAGAGTCGTCATATATATACACATACATGAAATGTAACTTCTGCATTTAACCCATCCCTAGCTTATTGGGAGCAGTGGGCTGCTGAGAAGCGCCCGGGGAGCAGTTAGGGGTTCAGTGTCTTGCTCAGGGACACTTCGGCACAGCCAAGGATCAAACCGCCGCGGTTGCCAGACGACCCTCTCTACCCATTGAGCCACGGCTGCCCCCAGCTAACGGGTAACAAAATCTTTGAACGTTGTTTACGACTGTCATGCCGTAGTTGATACCTGATCTGAATAATTAAGCCAGTACCAACGAAGAATCGGATAGCTGGTGGGTCTGATCAATGCAGGCCTACTTTTAACTTTTCAAGCCTCCAAAGATTCTTAAAATGAAATATTAGAAGGAGGAAAAAAAAGTAATGGTTGAACTCCACAACCATAACATGCGGATGAGGGTCATCCTCTATATTTCAAGGGGTCACAAACCAAAAAAGGTTTTCAGTTTCAAATAGTTAACCTGAAGCAGAGGCTTTCAATTTAGGGGCCTCCAGCTGAGGTTGACATGATAAAGAAAATATACAGCTTTGAATATATTTTCTGCTGGTAATATCACATTTCATATACTGGACATGAACGCAGAGCAGAGCACGTGATGCAAACCTCGTGACCTTGTCATTTCAAAGGCCTATAATCAGCCTGTGAGTGAGAGTGACTGCAATGGGTGGCCTGCTGACGAATGTGCTGCCTCTGTACTGCCTCTGTGCTCTCTGCCAAGCACCACTGCATACCCACCATGTGTTTGTGTCCTGTGGCCCTACGGAGCGGGCTAAGGGCACCAGACCCAGCTGCCTCTCTGAGGGGGAAGGTGGAAAAGAGGAAGGGAGGGAGGCCATATTAGGCAGCCATCCAAACTCAGGCTGACTACAGCCGACTACAGACGGACACCTCCGTGTCTCACAAAATGCTGCCATGAAGGCATACGGCATGGGTGGCCAAACTTTTCTTTTTGACTGTGGGTCATATACATAAAAGATATAAAGAGCCAAACAAGTGTGAATGTGAAGCTTTCAACCAGCTACACTGCGAGAAAATCTGTTTTCTAGACCAGAAAAACCCCATAGAAAATGAATTCTCTATCAAAATAACTTACATTTGACATTAGAGTTGTTTATTGGTGTGCCCACATATTACAGTAAGTATTTATGTATCTAATGCTCTTAAATTAAATTTGAATGAATATGATTAAACTGTAATACAGTCCACGGCCTAAGTATCAATCTAAAATATTATGATGTTATGTGTAAATCTACACATAAGTAAAACAGGCAGTTTTGCCAAATGTTGCTTTCTGTTAGTGGCCAAAGGCCCACCTAAAATTTTAGGGTGCAAATGTATACGAACAATGTTAATAGGTGTAGTTTAAGATTTAACAATCAGAACAGGCAGAGATAACAGAGACGTCAAGACAGAGATATTTTCACTAAATATAATCGACATCTAGTGTTTAAACTAGGATGTGGCAATGCAGTGCAGTTTATTAAAAAATATACTCAATTTTTAAACATGGGCTGCAGTTGGCACACCTGCTATAGTTTGGCCACCCCAGGCTTACGGCATACACACAGGGACACAGAATGACATGCATTAGGTGAAGCTGAAGCCCATTTGTCACAGAGGCGAGACTAAGCAGGACATTAAAACGCCGCCCAGGCTTTCCCCCTGAGCACCCATAGTCTGTGGGACACACCTGCTCTCTACATCACTGCTACAGTACTCAAAAACATCTGCGTCCTAATGAGCAATAACTCACTCTGTGAACAGCGGTGGGTGCAGGTGCATTACGATGGAGTCGTTAAGTACACTTGAATATAATACAAGGAGATGATGAGTAAGAGAGAAACACGGAGCAGCAAAACATTGCAAAAATAGTACTGTGACCTGGAGTACTGTGATATGTTGATTGTGTTTACTTGTGCTTTACTGCAGTAGCAGGTAATGACATAAAAGACATGACATGATTCCACTCATTGGAATTCATTCCTGATCACGAATGTATTTGATAGTCAGTGTTCATAGTTCAGTCATCTGGAACAGCTGGGAGAAGCATCGCAGCAGGTTAGGGTGATAAACCAGATTTGAATGAGTAATTCTTCTCCCTCATCTACATACAACTCATGACAGTTTCTGGATCAAATTAGATTTTTTAAATTAGTTCGAACTAAATCCTTAATTTATTCAGAACATTTGTTGTACTTTGTCATCTGGGGGCCTTTGATGCATGACATCCCCACTATCACATAAAGGCAAAAAGAAACAAAACCGCAAAAAGTTATATTGTTATGATGTATCGTGTGAATGTTTTTCACCAGTAAAAAGTGGTTGTACCATGTAAGTGACCTATCCATTTGCTGCCTTATGTCAGAATTACTTCTGCATTTTTTTCCGGCACTCATGTGGACATCAATTTGGGATGATCGCCAAACGAACCCCATGGGTCATTAGTTGACCGTGGCAACATGAAAAACAGGTTACAATATAATGCCATACGGGTTAACAGGAAGCTATGTCTCCTGCTAGAGTAATTCAAATATTGTGACTTTTGATAATGACATTAGGCCATTTGTAACCCTGATGAAGACGTACAGCACTACGACATCATTAAGAGGCTGTCAAAACTCACGCAAAACACGAGAAGTTCAATGGTCAACTATTTTTGTACAATTATCACGAGAAATGGATGGAAATTGAATATGTTTTAAAGTAAAAAAGCAGCAACATTTCAAAAGACCTTTACTTTGGCAGAACCACTTCCTGCCATGCTTCCTGCTGGACTCAAGCAGCTGCTCACCAGCCTTGTTCCTAATTATAGTGGTTTGGATACCCATACTTACAAACACAACCATGCATACATGTACTTGGCCTACAAACACGCACACACATACACACACACACACACACACACACACACATATATATAACCCAGACATGACCTAGACTAGGCTGCCCTGGGTTTTCTGTCACTCTGCACATTAGGTCTGTCACTTCGAAGCTCCCCTTGAGAAAACTCAACACCACCGCTTTGGTCCAGACCACTGCATCAAACAACTGGCACAGGCTGATGGACAGCTTTAAAGGAGCTGCTGACGGGGAGAGGGAGGCAGTTTGTATTAGTGGGCTGTCCAATGCCCTTGAATGCTTCTTTGGGGTGATGAGTGAGGCCTAACAGCGGCTGATGACCATTTCAGGGGAGGAAAATATAGCAGGGTAGATCTTAAAATATTTTTGGGTGTATTATTAAAAAGGACCTTTTTTTTTTTTAACTGTAATCCTGCCGTGACTAGAGACAGACTTCTTGGATAGTACATATTTTCTTTAGCATGCTACATTGTTAACTAGATTTCATATGTGCGGCATTACCTCAACACGTCCAACGGCAGGAATGCATGAACATGAGGGAGAACCGATCAATGCAGAGGAAAAGGTCACGCTATAGTTGGACAGGCGAGAGATTCACTTACCTCATCGGCTGAGTCCGAAGTGCTGTCTTTAGATCTTCCACCACCTTGTTTCTCATTTCCATTTCCTCCTCATCGAAGGCAAACAGGGTCTGCATCTGCAGAAATGGGGAGAAATTAATTGGAATTTAGTGGAAAGACATGATTGATATCTTGCTGAATTTTGGCTATAAAGCGGGTGCCATTGGGCAAGCTACCTGCTAGCAAGATTGCTGTACTTTTTCACTTGTATTCATTGTTTCTGTGCAACCCAGTCACCAGAAAAAAATGTTGACATTGTATGTTTCTGCAACCCACATGATACGTTGAATGATGATGTCTCTGAACAAAAAAATATGTTTGATATCAGCTCTGAATCATGCTTGCAGAAATACACAATGCCATACGATTAACATTGTGAAACTATCAGGGAGGTTTAGGCAAAATCTTCTTGGTTAAGGTAAATAAAATGTTTTGTGTTAAAATGATAAAATAACAACGTAGTTTAACAAGGTAGCAGCGTAACAAGGTAGCAGCTTAACAAGGTAGCAGATTAACAAGGTAGCAGATTAACAAGGTAGCAGCGTAACAAGGTAGCAGCGTAACAAGGTAGCAGCGTAACAGCGTAACAAGGTAGCAGTTTAACATGGTAGCAGATTAACAAATAGCAGATTAACAAGGTAGCAGCAACAACAACGTAACGCAACAACATCAGAGACATTGTCATTCAACGCATCATGTGGGTTGCAGAAACATACAATGTCAACATTTTTTTCTGGTGACTGGGTTGCACAGAAACAAGGTAGCGCAACAACAACGTAAGGTGAAAGGTTATTTGACCCATCCAACACCCCTCTCATCTGCCCTCAGTGGACTTTGTGGCTTGGAGTATTCGTTATCATACGACGGAACTTATTATAATGGTCACGCAATATAATACGTCATTTGCTCCGGGGTTTACAGAAACATTTTCCGTGGCGACTGGACTGTGTTCCTACTGGCAACATCAGAATGTTAATCCTAATTTGGCAGCCATAAAACAGCAACAGAATTTCTTCCTCTTTACAAAGAAACGTGTTTGTTTCAATTAGTCCTAGCATCAAAGGTAATCAAAGCCTAATTAATAGCCCCCTTTCCAATGTTGTTTTCCTTTTGAAGCACTGCATGAAGCTATACAACATGCCAAAATAAGTCATGCAGGCAATTAGCTCCAATCAAGCATATAACAAATCATAAAAAATAAAAAAAAACACTTAGAGCGGCGGGGGTGTTAATTCATTTCTGCATCACTTAAAGGCTCCCCTCAGCAAAGAGCTGCTTTGCTCCCATTAGTCAGGGCCACAGGACTTCAGTTTAGCCTCTCCAGGCTCTTTCCAAGGCAGCTTACTGCCAAGCGCTGAGGTTCAAACAGCGCGTGTTTCAGCAGTGGAGTAAGCTAGCCACAGTGACTGCCAGTTAACTCCCCTGGAACAAAATATTTGCTTGAATGTGACCCTGTCGTCCAACCCTTAAACCCTTTTTTAAAAAAGGCGTAAAGGTCAAAATTGGGTGCAAATATTTCACAGCAAGACAGGACATTTTGGACCAGCAGCCCCTACACAGCTAACTGAAGCGGGATCTCATGTTTGACTACCTAACAACAGCTCTGGTCTGTCCGCTGTGAGAGAGTGTTTAATCTAGAAACAGTGCAGTCAAAACATCCATCGTGTCGACTTAGTCTCAAGTCCAGATGGTTCACAAACCCCTGTGCCAAGAAGTGAAGGCTCTGGCTCCTGTTTTCTCTGAACGAATATGTTCATAGTCGATGGGAAGTTGGACGCAACAAGTGTTGGAGAGAGTGGATGATTTGGTCGTGCTGCGAGCCAGTTCACCGTGTGAATGAGTCTCGCCAAGCGGCTCTTTCCTGCATCTGCTATTTGTAAGCTCATTGGAACCTGTGGCCAACATGCACATACGGATACTATTAAAGCCATTTGGTAAACCAGCAGAAGGTATTTCCCCAAATCCTTATTATGGGAAGTGACCCCTAAGAGCCAGAACTATGCCTTCAAGCTAGTCGTCAGTGCCTTGTTAACTGAGTGAGTGATGAGTGCAGCTCATCAAAACCTTAATTAGGACCATGTGGTTCACTGGTGTGCCAAGTAAAAAAAAAGTAATTGTTCAATATGAATGAAGGCAAACAACATTATTTTAACTTAAATAGTCATGCAAATGCCTGAGGCATTAAACCCAATTAGGGTAACAACATGCAAGTTGAAACCCAGCTATTATCCTATTGTTCCTATGTGGCTAGAAACCAACAGCTGAAATTGAGTGGAATGATGTAATCGGAAAGCTGAGCGGTGTTTAAACAGTTACAGTCAGAGTTCAACTGAGTGCCAGTCGGTTTGTTAGCAATCATGTCTTTTAAAAGTCACAGCTGAGCAATGCAGCTTGTAAACGGCAAATAGCTCCCCAAAACAGAAGCTTTGCTACTTTGCTTTAGTTTTACTACTGATAAAAGCTGCTGGGTTATTTTAAACTTAGAAACTCACTATGAAGCTGCGAAAAGCAGAGTGGAGCTGCATAAGTATAAGTCAAGCTGCAACCTCAGGGTCTGAGTAGTGAAGCCAATGCTGAAGTGCCATAAAACTGCGTTCTCTCTACTGACCATCAGGGGGAGACACCTCTGGTTGTATAGAAGTCTATGAGAAAATGACTCTACTTCTCTCTTGATTTATTACCTCAGTAAACATTGTAAACATGAGTTTATGGTCTCAATCTCTAGTTTCAAGTCTTCTTCAATACAGCATGATGTTCATTTGGTAAATTATGGTCCATTTAGAGTCAAACAGACCATAAAGCAGAGTATGCTTTAGGGCGGGGCTACCTTGGAATTGACAGATCCTTACCACAAGTATCTGTGATATCGACTCTCAAATTTAACCCTTTCACAATGCGTTTTCAGTTCATGTAAGTTAATTGTAACATTTTGATCGCCCAAAAATGTCTATTCAGTGTTTGGTTGTACGTCATGTTGAATACGTCCACTTCTTCTATAGAGTCTATGGCTTAGGTGGAATTTTAAATGTAGTGTATTAAATGTGCACTTTTTAAAACAGGCTTCACTAAATGAACTGCCGAATTGAAAAATATGAAATTAGTCGACAGCAACAACACTAAATGACACTTGAAAGCATTTTGTAAGGCCCATTTGAGTTCCTATTTTGTGGTTGAGAAGCTGCAAAACAAACAACAACTGAGTTCTGTGTGTTTCTTCACATCACAGGCATACGAGAGGCTCTTCCCTTTGCCTCTGTGTTGGATCTCCTCTGTTTATCAGCAGAAAGCCCGATCCAGGCGCCAACGTCGATGCTCAACACACCAGCTTGGACACAGCGAGGCTACAGAAATGCCTGACAAGAGTCACGAGGACGTTTGAATTTATCGCTCCGCAGCAAGCGAACAACCTCGGGGCTCTGACATGGTTTTATGAATGAACGTCCAGATGCCAGTTGTACAGTAATCTCTCAGGCCGGCGAAAATTAGCTCATCCAGCTACTGTGGAAGGGCTGCCCCTGGCGAGCTCGCCTCGAAGCCAAGACAAGATGTCATGTACGGGTAGAGCACCTCCAAATGTTAAAACGCTCTCTTTTCAAGATGCTGTCTGGTGGAGAAAAATGGAAGATTGATAGTTGGAGTGGGGAAAAATGATTCAGGAAGGGGAGGAAATTGGTGGAGTTATTGTGAATAAGGGAAACCGTGCCGAAGTTGTGTTTATTTTGCTTATAATGTAAATACATTTCCAATCTGAAGTTTAGTCCTCCCAATGTTAGCGCAATTACTTACACTGACAGGTTCTACAACATTGCTGGACCAAGTGAATGCGAGTATCTCGTCACGCTGGCACAAAGCATGAAAATGTCAGGATTTTATATACTGTTAGACTCCTTACACACAACTTACAGACTTGTTTTGCAGTAGATATAGTAAAAAAGAAAAAGACGTGCTGAAACTTAACTCTGACACCTAACAGCACAGAGGCACCGCTGCTGCGCTGGTGGATTTTAAATTCTTGGCAACTCACAAATCAGCACTTTCTTTCGACTACACTTAAAATACTGCGTGTGTGTGCGTGCGTGCTGTCTGGGTCTAAGAGTATGACAGTAAAATTGTTTCTCCAGACTTCAACACAAAGTTCAGGTACCAGTTCAGAAGTCGCTCATTCTCAATAGGAGCCAGTAAACAATAACAGCTGTAAAAACAGCAGCCTTCAAAATGGGTTGTTGCTATAGTGTACATCGGGTTTGCCAGAAAAACAAACAACACGGCAATAAACAGATATTAAATGCCATTACTTTTTGGCCCTTTGGTTTATGGTGGTCTGTGTAAGTTATGGTCCAACTGTTTATCTGATCCATGGCCTGGAACAACTTGTAAATGGATTAAGTGTTGGTCTGCTTTGGGTAGATGAGAAAAAAATAAAAAAATAAACCTAGTGGAATGTTAAAAAGTCCATAAGAGACATTAGAAGTTGAAGACTGTCTCAACAAATAACTTGATTGATAGTCTATAAAATGAATGCTTGCATGCCATTCCTTAAAGGGATAGTTTGGATTTTTTCAAGCCAGTTTGGCAAAACAAATAGCATGGGAGAAAATGAATGTACTGCTGTGGATGGGGGCAGCAGCAAAACATATTTTAGACACCAAAAAAAAAGGCCCACCTAAAACAATACATTTTAAAAAAGTGTTTATGGTGCTATATTTTGTATCTGTGCCAGTTTACCTTGCAGTGAAACAGCTAAACAGCTCTTTTCAAAGCCACCAGACTGTAAAAAAATTAATTCACCTCACTGCACATGATGGTTGCTTATTGTTATTGTGTGACTTTGGTTAGTTTGGATTCAACAAAGTCACACAATAACACAACAAACTAACTGATCAAGGCAGCAGTAGACCAGCAACCCCCATGTTCAGTGAGGTTCAAATTACAGTTTTTATTTGTTTTTCAATTGAGTCCAGTGGCTTTGGTTTCCACATTGGAAAACGGCTGTCTCATGGCAAGATAAACCTCCAAAAAATATTCTTAATATAGCTTACACTTACACTCGTTTTTTTTTAGGTATCTAAAGTATGTTTAGCTGCTGTCCCCTTCCACAGCAGGACATTACTTTGCTCCCATGGTGGTACCCCTGTCTGTTCTTCCAAACTCCGTCTACTGTGGGTAATACATCGACTTTTGGATAAGTACCTCATACAACCCAACTTCAAATCATCTAAATAATCCCTTCAAAAAAAAACTCCTTAAAATGTGATGTTTTATGCTTTCCAAACATTTGGGAGCCAACTTGTCCACATATGGACTCAGGGTCAGAGGTCACTGTTCCAAACAAGTCAGTGGCAGAATGTACAATCAAATAATACAACTCACACACCAAAACGGCAGTTGGGTGATTGTATCATGCTGTATTTATTGGCAGCCATACAGGCTAGAAAATAATGAATATTATCACCCTGGGTTTGCTCCGTGTGTTTGACAGTCGCTCCCGCTGACTGAACTGCTGAGTGTCTAAACGGCCGGTTTGTCATCACAGTGTGTATGAATGCCGGGGGGCACGGCACAAGGAATGCGGTCATACAAATATAACAAGCAGTCGGCAGGGAAGCGACCATCTGACCACTACTCTTAGGAGTAGTGGTCAGATGGTCAGTCGGTGAGTGACATTGTCATTCGTGAGATTGAGGTGTGGAAGCTATATCTTATTCATGTGGGTATTTTAACATTCAGCCAACGCGTTTGACTTACAGCAGCCATGGAGTTGATGCGGTCGATGTAGTAGTCGGGCCAGCTGGTGGCCAGCTTGTTGGGGTCCTCTTGCTCCTGTGGGTGGACACAAAGACAGATGGAGTCACTTTAGAATGACTTGCATATTGAAACTTACACAAACATCAAATGTCTGTTTATATCCTTGCTCCTGTAGTGTATGACAATGTCAGCATGACTTTCAGTCCATTTATTCAGCCTGTGTTTGTGTTTTGTTGTTATATTCATATCGTTCCATTAATGTAACTATGTAGCAAGCTAGATATGTGGCAAGATTTGGTCCACTTTTGTAACCCTGCCTACCACACTGCCAAGGTGCCTTTAAGTAAGGCACCGACACCCCCAACTGCTTGTTCGCAACCCGTGCTAAAATCCTACACAGTCCCACCCCTAGTCCTGTGTGTGCATGCGTGTGAGTGTTTTTAACAGCAGAGTGTATAAAGTGAATGAGGGATTAATAAAGAACTCCTTGAGCGATGCGGAGGGCTTTTCAGAGATCTACCTCGGATCATGAGTCGTAATGATTATGGTGATGCCTTGACGTTTCCTGGAGCAATCCAACAAAACTACTTTTCCCGTAGCGCTGACCATCAGGTCAAAAGTGCTCCTTGATAGAGACTCCTCCATGACAAGATATTAGGGCTGTCCACGACCAATGAAATTCTCAGTCGCCAAACACTGATAAAAGATTTTGTAGAGTAAGCGGTTTGTTGATTTAATCCAAAGATCTGAGTTTCTCAACAAGAAACAAAACAAAAGCACCACTGTTAATCTTGCAATTACCAGAGATATGCTCAAAAGTACCTTAAGAATAAGTAATCCAGCAAGCTGATCTTTTCCACGAGAGGCACCATCCTGACAAACGTTTCACCTATGTGCGGCAAATATCAAAATCTTTCAGGGCAGACAACTGCGGAATTTACAGAAAAACCCTACGCTCTACAGACGATTAACCCTTCTTCATTTCAGAAACTTTGGAACTTTTCTACTCATGTTGTTGACAATCTTTATACTTTCAACCTCACTACAGGTAAGGTATGACAAGAGTAGTGAGATCAGTAGTGAGCTGTCAATTTTTCTCCAAAACCTTGATGAGCTGTGATGAACAAAGCAAGGCAGCTTGTAGGGCTTTGACTGTTGGACTTGTTTCTACATCACACTCACTCTAGTTTCATCTTTCCACTTTCTACCTTAGCTGCACACGTCAGCATCCACATGAGGACTAAATGGATCAGGCAGTCCAGTCCTCAATAACTGGGTCACAACATCTCGGAGTATTCACTTGTCTTAGCTTTTACTACATGGAGCAAGAAAAAGAGAGAGCAGGAGAGAAAGAAGAATTGCCTTGAGGAACAAAGTGCACTCCACAATAGTTTTCAAATAGCTCTCTCTGAGATCAATTTGTCCTGCCCCACGAGCAAACCCACGGCACGAGGGAATAAAGAGACCATGTTCCTTGCTCACATCTGGTCTTGTTTAGCCCGGGGTTAGAGCTCTGGTGCGGCATGGTTGTTGTTTTTGTTACTGTGTGCACATCAGATATCAGAAAATATTATAAAGTGACAGGATGCCCCATTCACAAAAAAATTGCATAATTTTGTAAGATAAGAGAAGAATTATTTGTCACATTAAAATCCCAACATATGTCAACAATTTGGCTTGATCCAAAAATTAAGAGGAACTTTAAAAAAAGTTGTTTTTTTTTCTAAAATGTGGTCAGAAGGCAGGGCCATGACCATAGACTGTATAAACTAAGTGGACGTAGTCTCTGCGATGTCCCCCAATGGCATGTGGACTTTGGTTCTGAAGCCTTGAGTCTGAACATTTTGGCCGTCGCCATCTTGGTTTTTTGCAACCAGAAATGACACGAGAGGGTGAAGCTAAGTACAACAGAACGCTGAATAAGACATATTTTAGTCTCCCAAAAAGTTACAATAAACTCGGTAGCTCCAAATATTTGAGTGCTACTGCCATATCACAGACACACACTGACATTAGAGAGGTTCAGATCCCCTTCCTCCATGAAGCTAATAACACCTGCTGCATCAAGCTGTAGGGGAGGATAGGTAGCTGGATCTATCAACTCAACATCCCCTCGCTCTCCTCCACCTTAGCTGCCACTGTCTCTGCCCCCATTTCGACTGCCTCCCCCACTGCCCTGGTCAAGTACTATAATGATGCACTCTCCTCCTGTCTTGACGTCATCACCCCCAAAAAAATCCAAACTCATCTCCTTCACCCACTCCGCCCCCTGGTACACTGACCGACTTCGCCTCCTCAAAGTGCAGGGCCGTCAACTGGAACGTCTTGCCAACAAAACTGGACTTACTGTTCACCTTGATGCCTTCAAACTCCACCAACAACAATATAAAGATGCCCTGAACACCGCTCGCTCCTCTCACTACTCCTCCATCATCCAATCTGGCTCCAACAATCCCAAAACGCTTTTCTCCGCCATCAACAAACTCCTTAAGCCCATGGACACCATCTCCACCTCCTTCACCACCAGCAAATGCAACTCATTTCTATCCTTCAACGACAAAATCATTGCAATACACAACCAGCTCGCAGCCCCCCCCCCCCCCTCTACCACCCCCCAAGCCCTCAACATGACTCTCCCCTACTTCCAAGCAACTCACTCTCATCCTTCAGTTCAATCACTGAAATGGACCTCTCCTCCATACTCTCCAGCATGAAGGCCTCCACCTGTGCCCTTGACCCCCTCCCCTCTTCCTTAGTCAAGGCCTGCCTCCCCTCACTCTCCCCTCTCATCACCAACATCATCAACTCCTCACTGTCTTCTGGTCTCATACCCCCCACACTCAAGATCGCTGCTGTCACCCCCGTGCTGAAAAAACCTGGTCTTGACCCCGACATCCCCAACAACTACCGGCCCATCTCCATCCTCCCCTACCTGTCCAAAGTCCTTGAGAGCTGTTGCATCACAACTCAAGTCCCACCTCAATCTCCATAATCTCTACGAACCCTTCCAATCCGGCTTCCGTTCAAAACACAGCACAGAAACCGCCCTACTGAAAATCACAAATGACATACTTCTCTCTGCTGACTCTGGCTTCCTCACCATCCTCATCCTCCTTGACCTCAGCGCCGCCTTCAACACTATCAACCACTCCATCCTCCTCTCACGTCTCCAGTACTCCCTTGGCATAACTGGCACTGCCCTCTCCTGGTTCACCTCATATCTCTCAGACTGACAATTCATTGCAATAAACAACTGTAAATCCTCTACCTCCCCAGTCACCCACGGTGTCCCCCAAGGTTCCGTGCTTGGTCCCCTCCTCTTCATCATTTACATCCTTCCCCTTGGACAAATCATCCGTCGTCATGGTCTCAACTTCCACTGCTACGCTGACGACACCCAACTCTACTTCTCCTCCAAGACCATCACCTCCGTCACCCACTCCACTCTCACCACCTGTCTCACTGATATAAAATCATGGATGCAACAGAACTTTCTCAAACTCAACTGCAACAAATCTGAAATACTCATCATCGGCCCTAACTCCCTCACCCGCTCAGCCCAGCCCTTCTCCCTCAACATTGATGTCTCCATTGTCACCCCCTCCACCCAAGTCCGCAACCTCGGTATCATCCTCGACCCCACCCTCTCTTTCCTACCCCACGCCAACCACATCACCAAAACTGCCTTCTTTCACCTCAGGAACATTGCACTCCTCCGACCCTCCCTGTCCTCTGCCACCACCGAAATTCTCATCCATGACCTCATAACCTCCAGACTCGACTACTACAACAGCATCCTCTATGGTTCTCCCAACAAAATCCTCAATAAACTCCAATATGTTCAGAACTCTGCCGCTCGACTGCTCACTTCCACCCGCCGCTATGAACACATCACCCCGGTCCTTCGCAACCTCCACTGGCTCCCGGTCAAATACAGAATAAACTTTAAAATATTACTCACCACCTACAAAGCCCTAAACAACCTGGCCCCTCCCTACCTTTCAGACATCCTCCCCCTCCACGCCCCAACCCGTTGCCTCAGGTCCGCTGGTGCAAACACTCTGAAGACCATCAGGACCAAGCACCGGACCTGGGGTGACAGGGCCTTCTCAGCTGCTGCACCTCCCCTCTGGAACGCCCTCCCCATCCACATCCGTGAGGCTCCCTCCCTATCATCATTCAAACAAGCACTCAAAACCCACCTCTTCAAACTTGCCTTCACCTGCTAACCTATGCACCCTACCCTCCATTACATGACCCATTCCGCACAGCTTCTCCAGTTATTCTTTTTTTTTTACCAAAATGTTCTCTTTGTTTGTTTTCTTTGCTCCTCTGTCTTTCTTTTTTCTTCTTTTTTTTTGTTTGTTTGTTCTGTTTGTCTCTGCCCTGTAAAGCATCTTTGGGTATTTTGAAAAGCGCTATATAAAATTGATGTATTATTATTTGTTAGAGCCAAATTCAATGTGATGTTAAATATTCACTTGTATTTACATGTTTAACTTTAATCACATCTGTTTCTACTTTGAATGTTACAAGGATGTCGTTATAATTAGTTATAGTAAGGAATACATGTAAGTGACAGACTGCCGTCACTTTAAGGTCACTTTGCGACAGTTACTGACAGTTGTGAGTAATATCTGAAGCAGTATGGAGCCGCACAGTTTTCCGAACGTGTTATGAACCGTGTTATGAAACGTGTTATATGGAACGATGTACGCGGATTAAGTTGTGGATAACCTGTGGATACTTAAAGTATGTCCAAGTAATCAGCCTACTTTTAGGAAGAAAGGAAGTTGTTTGACTGACTTGTACGAAGGAAATTGGATCAATAAAACACGTATTGCTTTCATCTACGAGCGGCGTCGGTGTGAGCTATGTGCTAAGGACCAGAAACACGCGTCAACTTAAGGTTTACATTCTGCTGAAGATTTGGACGCTACATTATTATTATTATTATTATTACTACTCTATGTCAGACCATGATATGAGAAACAACACATCCCATGGCAGAAGATCTGCTTAGAATGATAAACACATTATAAATGTTGCTAGAACAACAGATTATTTCTGTGATAGTCGATTGTCATCAGGGGCAAAGTAAGCTCTCTGACTGCTTACATAACAAGTGCAACCACTTCATTCACTACAACGTGCTGCAGCAAGAGTTCATCAATCTTCTCTGTGTTCCATCTTGATATAGAAACTCAAAAATCTATGCCACCCAAATCCCTTAATTTCTAATATGTTGCTTCAATACTTGTATGGTGGTTCAACACAGCTGAAAGCAAATGACATGTAGTGTTGATTAAGTCAGACAAACTCCATTAATTGTCCTTTGACATAAAACCCTCTTATCATGACCACTATTAAACTTCTGGACATACAAAATGAGCTGCTGAAACAGCAGATCCACTGATTTGTGAATAGTATGCACTCAAGCAGCTCCACCACACAGCTTGTTCTGGGTTGGAGTATGAAGCTGTGGCCCTTGCCAGCATTTAAGCTCAAGAGCTAAAACAACCAGAGAAAACAAAAACAATAGAACTCACTGTACTACTCAGCTTGTGTTTTCAAGCCTGCCGTCACTTCCACTATACTGCTGACGTGCTCGGCACACGATGGCAGACAGATCCTGACGCTGAGATTAACAAGTTAACCGCCTCTCTCTGGCCCTTCAGCCCAATTACAGCCGCCGACACGCCCTCAAAAACATGTCGAGTCCAGCACAGCATTTACTCTGGCAGTTTCACGAGCCCGAGTAAAGTGCTGCAATTTTCTTCTCGTTTTAGGAGGAATTTAAAAAAACTATTTCAACACGAGCTACACGAATATTCGCAGTTTTAATGAGATTTTCGGAAAAAAGGGTGAAGCGATGTGAAGGCTGTTCTTGCGTGCTGCTTTCCTGATCAAACCATTTCGGGGAGTTAATCACAGATGATGACTGGTATTAAAAATGGCGTGTAAAGAAGTCAGACTCCAATGAGTGGAGCCTGTTTCCAACAGCAGGCCTTTGATGTGAATGGAGAGAGAATCTGTGTGAAAGCACTCCATATATACTTTATATACATATATATATAAAAATGTACGTGCTCCTCTGCTCATGGCCCTCAATCCACATTCCAGTCGCGTGCCTCGCTGCGACAGTTTAAGGTCAACCCCGTCATTCTATTACAGCAATTACACACTTGCACTACAACATACATTCCTCACGTCTGGTGACGTTAAATATGATTTACAATCCAGGTTGCGGCAGGCAAAAAGAGGACAGGAATCCCCAGCAGTGTATCGGGTATTATTTCTGCAAGGTGTTCGTCTTTGTTACAACCATCTGTTGAGGGATATATTGTTTCTCAGATGAGCCAAGTACTCCACTAAAGCCGAGGTTCAAGAATATTTCCCCGTGCGTTTGGCAGCCTGTTGCGTTCGCAGAGGCACCTGTTGAAAGAGCAGATGAAATTACATATTTTGGCTCCCCCGGCATCAACGCAAAAGGCCGTCTTGAAGATTTCAAAACTCCTTAAAATGGTTTGACTGACAAAGATGATTGAGCTCACAGACTGTAAAGAAACCTATGCACATTTCAAGTCAAGGTTTCAGAAACTGCTTCTGGACTTCTAGAAAACATATCGCTCAATTCTAAAAGACTAGCAAGAGCAAGGGAGGGAGGTAAAGAGGAATAATACCATGCCACAAGCTGCCGCGTTCTTGCCCAACAAAAGATCTGACAGAGGCACGTATTAGCTTGCATGTTTTCCAGTCTTTGAGGCGTTGGCAACCAACTTGGCCCGATCGCTCCTTGTAATACAAAAAAAAAAACAAGCGTCTGAATGCAAGTAATCAACTGGGGACATTTCATGTTGATATCTATTCATTTTTTATCCTTTTACCAGTAATTTTGCAGTTATTATCGTTATTAGCAGTTTTCTCAAAATAAGTTTTGTCTTAGACTGTTGCAGAAATCTCCACTTCGGTAGCTGTTACATTCCCCAAACTTTCCAGTTCAAATCTATATTCTGAAGGTTTTTACAGAGGG